AAACTTTCGTCTTGTAATGTATCGTCAATACGGGCCGTGGTTGAGGAATATTCCAAACTGTTTACGAGCGATGAGGATCCGTTTGGCTTCTGTCCGTGAATTGAACACGAAATTCCTCTGTCATCGGTAAGCTTTCGACCTTATGGCCCCCGTCCATTGCCGCTCCATCTACGGGAGGAGGTCCATAGACAGACTCAGGAGATGTTGAAGAATGGTATAATCGAAGAAGGCAGTGCGTACAATTCTGTAGTGGTGCTTGTAAGGAAGATGAACGGAAAATACAGGTTTTGCGTGGATTTCCAGCGCTTGAATTAACTGACTGTAAATCGGGTTGTGGCTCTGCCTTCGGTTGCAGAGATTTTCGATTCCCTCAAGCACTCCCGATACTTTACCGTGTTCGACTTGCGTTCCGGATATTGGCAACTACCTATCAAGGAGGAGGACCGGGAGAAAAGGGCGTTTACGGTTGGGGACACTCAATATCAATTTAGACGAATGCCGTTTGGTTTATCTGGGGCACTATTCACATTCCGGCGCTTGATGCTTCGTGTAACCAAGGGACTCCAGAATGTTGCCGTGTACGGAGACGATATTGTTGTGTACAGCAATTCGGAACGGAGCACGTAGTTCACTTGAAGGCTGTGTTGGTGCGGATTCGGGAAGCTTGCCTGCGGATAAATGAAGCCAAGACAGCTCGCTCAGAGTTCGGTGACACTGCTGGGGCATAAAGTGGGTGAGGGAGAAGTTATCCGACTGCCCGAAAAATTAGCAAAGATCAAGGATTGTACTGTTCCTAATTCAAAACGGTCTCCACGGCAGTTTCTTGGACGAGCAGCATGCTACAGCCGGTTCGTTGAGGATTTCAACAAGATCGTTGCGCCACTGTACGATTTGCTCGGTCAAAATCGGAAATTCGAATGGACCGGAGAAGCACGTGAAGCTTTTGAGCGCGGATGTCGGATCAGCAACTGACCCTCAAACTTCCCAGGGTCAAAGAGGTGTTCATAGTTGCAACGGACGCCAGTGATCGCGGTATCGACGCAGTCCTAAAGCAGAGGGATGGAGTTATCGGATATGCCAGTCGCGTCTTGACTAACGCTGAACAGAAGTACTCCACCATTGAGAAGGAATGTTTAGCGATCGTCTGGGCCCTGGGCACGTGGAGATCATATCTGCATGGGCGAAGTTTCATGTCGAAACCGATCACAAACCCCTGGAGTGGATCCGGACCACCAGAGATCCTCGCGGGAAGCTCGCACGCTGGGCAGTTCGGTTGCAAGAGTACGACTTCAAAATCAAGCACGTCCCCGGGAAGGAGAACCACTTGGCTGATTGGCTATCAAGGCCAGAAGCTGAAGATGAGGTCCCTAAGATCATGATTGGAACCAATGGCCTCGTCGTCGAACTGGGTCCCAGAAAGTTGTTGCAACTCCAACGGCAGGATCCGGTGTTACAAAAGGTTGCAGCCGCCTTGTTGGATGGAAGGAACATTGAGAACGGAGAGGGAGACAAGGAATTAGAAGCGTTCCAGAGTCACTTTGATCGGCTGAGGCTGAATGAAGCTGGCATAATTTCCTGGAACGCCACTGATTCAGATGTTGTGCTGCCCGTGATACTTGGCGTCTTGAGACGGAATCTCATCGGTGAATGCCATGAGATGGCACATACAGGGTGCACCAAGACACACGACCTACTTCGGCAGAGGGCCTACTGGCCCGGGATGAGAAGTGAGGTGATGGATTATGTGGTGTCCTGTAAGCGTTGTCAACTAATGAAAGCGGATACGACAGGGTCAACCCATCCCATGGAACCCATTCCTGTCTCAGAAATCGGCGAGCTGTGGTCAGTTGACGTCATGGGCCCCTTTCCGGTGACAACAAGTGGGAACCAATACATCGTGATGATGACAGAACACCTGTCGTGATGGATTGAGGCAACAACCGAAGCAGCGGGCAACGACGATCAGCGGAGCGGTAATGACTCACATTGTGGCCAAACATGCTCGCGCAAAAATGATCCTAACCGATCAGGGGCCTTGCTTCGAGAGCGAAGAGTTTCGTAATTGCTTGCAGAAGCTGGGTATCAGACGGCTAAGGACGGCACCATACCACCCGCAAACAAATGGCCCGACCAAACGTAATAACCGAACGATCAAGGAGTGGCTTGCTGCCAAAGGAGGTGACTGGGAAGTGAACTTGCCGATGGTGTTGTTAGCTCATCGTGCTTCCACGCAGTCGACCACAGGCAAATCCCCGTTTACGTTAATTTACGGCCGACATCCGCGCCTTCTGGTTGATCAGGAAATTGGGTTGTGGCTCGTCTCCGGAGGAGCTAGAGGAAGAAAGAAAGAGTACAAGAAAATTTGATCGCCGGTCAGGAAAGGGCTAGGCAGAAAACAGCAAGTAGAAAGGTCCGAACGTTCCCCATAGGCACGAAGGTCAAGTGAAGGGATCACCAGAATCCTGGAGGG